GATACATGCTATTGGGTTGAAATTCATAACAATGATTAATGGACATATTCCGGATACGATATGTCAAGGATACGCATGATTGACCTCGGCGATACGCTCCAGTGAGCAATATAGGGTTTCACATTTTCATCTTCTTCTCGAGAACGACACTACTTAGAGACTTGAAATTTACATCAAATGCAGATAATAAGTCCCCCATCATAAATTGCAAATTTTATGCATGACTGATCACGCTTTCACGCTCCAGTGAGCAAAACGCGTCTTCAGTTCTTTTACGCGGGAAGCCTGTTAAAGCTGCACGCAGCTCTAGTTTTAATGTTTAATTTCAAAGTTTGTAATCACAGTCACTATGCAATGCCTTGATGCTGCAATTGGATATTTTGAAAGATAATAATAAATTGCATCATGCAACCGATGTAAAATAAATAAAATAAAAAAAGGTTACAAGCTATAATTATAGGTTGAATTTCTCATTTCAACCTAACGTTCCTTTGAATGACTACTTTGTATTTCAATCCATAAATATTTAAATAAATTGAATATTTGACGTCACAACTTTATTGCAATTTCCAGTAACGGTAAAAAATCCCGAAAAAGGGAGTCGCCGCATTACAAAACAAGTCATCAACAGAAACTTGAAACTTTGCTTGATATGTCATATTAGTTTGTAAGTTATATGTTTACGTAAACGCTCCATCTTGTTTTTTCGCCAATTTTATCATTCATATAACAAGAAAATTACGACAATATATGCAAATAAAAAAATCGTCGAAAAAAGAAACGAAAATAAATCAAAATTTGAATACGGCTTGTGATATTAAATAAGGCTAATCAGAAAATATATTTATTATTGCTATAAGATAGTTACTTGTTTCTTTTAGCATGGTATATATGAAAAATCTTAACAATATTTCCCATCTACCATGGAGAAGACCCTTTTTTTCTAACTTATTACTAAGAAATTAAATATGAGGTTGACCTAAGTTACAATTATTGAGAACATACTTATGCAATATTCAAAACATAAAATCAAAGACACTGTTGATTTATCGAGGCCAAGCTTAGCAAGGTCACCAATCATATGACCATTTTAATTAAAGTAGATGCTAATTTAAAAATGAAATTATTTGAAAAGTTGACACAGAAATTATCATCACTACTCAAATGACTACAGTGGTGCATGTTTGGCGTATTAAGGAAATGTTGGCATAACCTGATGTGTTGAATCTCAGTGCTTTTGCAGGTGAACCAAATATCTCAATAACAAAATCCTTATATTGCTAAGTGTAATATTTCAAGAGATGATAAGAATTGATTTATGGTTTAAAATAGCTGCCATGTTGTTTTATCAACAGCAGTCAGGACGTCAAAGACAAACAAGACAAAAATTACAATTAAATTCAATTATGCATATGTGTTGGTTATCGGAACTTTATTTTTTTTCCTAATAACAATGTTAATATACACAATATTAGTGTTTGGTTTGTAAGGTTTCAATAGAAATTGGGAATTTAAAATGTGATTGGAAATATTATAATGTTGTTTTATCGACATGATACAGGATTTGAAATGCAAACAATGAATTATGTACATTATCTCATTATGAAGTTGTGTTGATTTATTAGCATGCGGGTGTTATTTTAACGTTTATGTACAGAGTTTGTGATCACAGCCACTATGCCAACCCTTGATGCTGTAATTGGATGTTTTGGAAGATGATGAAACATTGCATCATGCAACCTATGTAAAATAGATAAAAAAGCTCAAAATCTCATTGCAACCTAACCTAGCTTAAAATCTCTTTGCAACCTAACGTTCCTTTGAATTCAGAAAATGTATCATTGTTATGATGCAATTACTCGTCTCTTCTTGCAAGGTATTTATGAAAAAGTATAAAAATATTTTCCATTCACCATGAAGAAAAGAAGATCTGTGTTCATAGTTACCTCAAACTTAGAAATTTATAACTTAGAAATGAAAGAAAAAGTTGACCTAAGCGTCACAATCAATAGTTGAAGCTCACTGCTTTGGCAGCTAAACTAAAAAATGAATAACAAATTTCTGATATAACGGATTAGTACTACTTATAAAATTTCCGTGAATACAAAGAATTGACTGTGTGGTTGGGAATAGCTGCACTGTTGTTTTATCAACAGAAGTTAGGACGTCCAAGGCAAATGAAACCAAAATTACAATTTCCCAATTTTTTTTCATGTTTGCAGAATTTTTATGTGTTTTTCATTAAGGGATTATTAATTTTATTTCTGTAAATAAATATTTCTTTATAATATAAAGTGATGAGTTTTCAACTGAATTACATTTACTTTTTGGTTCCCGTGTCTCAGAAATAGCAATGAATGCTATTTTTAAATTTTGAGAAGAAAACTTTTGAAAGTTTTTTATCGAAATACATAAATGGTTTAATATAAAAAGTTTCATTGAGGCTCAAGATTCTATCTATTAGACATTAGTTTATTATTGCAAATTTATGAAAATTGAAGAACGTTCCATGTGTAACAGTAGAGAATAATTTCAATATGAAGTAAATTAAGTAATGTAGTATGTGGTATATTGAAAACCAAAAGGCAAAAACGAAATATAATTCACGATGCAATGTGAAACAGCAAAACGTCTGTCAATATTGGATATTCAATAATATATCATATGGTATAATAACAACTATAACGTATAACAACAACAACAACAGGTAATAAGCATTGAATGCCATCTTGTGCTGTTTTAGAGTTTCATTTAATCGGAAATTTACTAATATATTTAATTGAAAACAAAGTAAAATTATACTTCTTAATTTTATAGCTGTAACACTAGTAGATATAATGGATAACCGAAACCCTGAACAAAACTTTAGAAATGAAATAAACGTTCAGTCACAATTTATATTCAGTGTTGTTAAAGTATTGGCACCGGGAAAGTGAGACTAATCCAACAAATAAATTTAAAGAGTTCAAAGCGACACGGATGGTTTGGTGACAAATTTGTTTTGTTAAAACAGAATAAATCACAAATTTCAGTTTGAGCTGATTGAGGTATCTATATATTGAGCGTTACTGTATGTTTTCTATATAATGTCTATATTTGTGATCAGCACGGTGCTGAATACAATCATTTGTCTTGAATTAGCAAGCTATATCTATAAATTACCAGGCATTGGGATTTAAATTGGCGCTTATTTTATGCTAAGTGTTGATCGGTCCATCTCATTCCTGATTTTATATAAAATACATTTCTAAAGTCTGTCAATAATATTTTGCCAACGTGCAGCATCTGTTTGTCTAAACGTGTTGGTCTATCCCAGATAAAGGGCACGTATAAAACAACAATACCTGTATACAACGCCTGTTTCTGTTATTATGTCATTCAAATAGTATCGTTATCAAACTACAACAACTTTAAAGTAGATTCCCTAAATGTGTTTGTCTATCCTGATCATAGGGCACGTGTACAAAACAATAATATACCTGTTTCTGTCCATTTATTAGTTTAATATTTATTATGTTGGGTATCTCAAAGAAATAATTACAAAGTAGTAATGACAACTTAATTGCAAAGCCAACAGAGTGAATTAGACTGAAAAACATCTTATTACTTCCTAATTATACATTATATGATTTTATAGTTTAAAGAATAAATTGATTTCCTATAAGCGTAAATTTTCTATACATTGAGTACTTTTTATTTGGATTTTAAAGTTCTATCCTATTATAGTTCTATTCAGTAGATCCGAATACAGGGCCAATTAAGATGCTCGTGGATGAGTCTTCTTCTGATGAGAAGCTGCAAAGCTCTGAAGAATAGAGCCAATTATAATATCTATCTATAAAATGAGATGAATAAATTTGTATCTCCAAGTTCAAGGACCTGCAGATCTCGCCTGGATCCACTGATATACGAGATATATATTGGGCATGAAAATGACCTACGCATGCTGAAGAGCATGAATCTTTTGTTTATCAAATTCAAGCTGCGCCATTGCAGGAGCAATTCGATGTCTTATTAACTGTTTATAGTAGCGAGCGTCGAGGATTCATGGCCTAATTACTGATAAATAAAATTATCTTTTTTGGACACGAAGTGGACATAACGATCGTTTCAATATTATGTTGTTGTTGTTCTTGTTCTTGTTCTTTTACACGTTTTTAAAAAGTCGCTTTTCTCTTCGAATACTGGACCAATTGCTTTGAAATTTTCAGTGGTTAAAGATTAATTTTTTCGCTAGAAGGCTATTACTTTTATTTATTTCAAAATTTTGCGTGAATTCTATGAAATTTGATATTTGGTCTAAAATTTTGCTGTATTATTTTTTATCCATGGGAACACGGATTTTAGTCAGTGTCATGACTGGCTGTACGTTTTGATTCTGCAAAATTCTTGCTACTGGAAATTCAGAACTTTTTTGAGGGTACCGGTAGCGTCAAAGGTACCGGTAAGGACTGATTCGCTCTGGTCTAACGTGTCCATATATTTATGCGTAGCTCTCTTGTTGAAATAAATAGTTCTACGTTTAAAAGATCAGAAATATTAAAATTGTAATAATGATCAATTTGGTTGTTGCTCATATAAATTAGTATACATAGCTAATTATCGATATTTCCTTAAGATGTGTCAAAATATAAGGACATTATTATGGTTAAAACTGTTCATTTCATTTTGATAAGTTTTCAAGGTTTAGTTTCTCGAATTCAGAAAAATTCATTTATTCGATCGTATTTAACGTTTTACGCTTTTATATAATGTTTGGTACAAGAATTATTGACTTGATTAAAAAAATTGACAAATATCAGTTTTGTGAAATTTTGACACGCTTCTATTCTGGAATATTGATTTACAAATTTAAAACGATTAAAACAGGCATGAGGTCCCCCCTACCTTGCCTAATGGTGAATTCGCACTAGACACACCACAATTTTGCTCTAATGCTGTCAGACCTAGGAACACTCAGGAAATTATAAAATCTAGATTTTATGCAATTGCCGTGAATTTTATTTCAAAAGCAAAATATGTTAAACGCAATTGATGTAAACTCAACAGCCTAAACTATAACTAAACTAAAATGATTGTTGGTCGGTCGTTCGGTCATTGTTGCATTTAAGCACATCCACAACGAATGTATTGGTAACATCTATTGCGTCTAACGATTCTGAATCTTCTGTAAGTGCTATAAAAAAGAATATATTATATAATACTAAACAATGTGCGTAAAAAATGACATTATCACTTGGAAAATTATCTTAATCTCAAAGGATTGAGCATTCGTATATTGAATATGCTTGTTTGCCGGACATGAACCAAAACCAACTTTGTTCATTGATAAATTTAGAAGAACTCACCAGAAGCGCCTGATTTTGTAGCGGTACACCCTGTAGGTAGGCAAGGCACATTTGTATCTGAAGACAACACGGATCTTTGGGACGGAGAATTTAGCACGGTAAGTGCATCTGTAAGAACAAGCGTAGTGTCTTGTGAATGTACGGATGTGTTTCCTCCATGCTCTGTCGAACTTGCGAAGTACCCTGTTTCTGTCAGATCTTGCCTTGAGTTTGTATGCATTGTAGAGTCTGCGGGCTGCACCACGGAGTCTTTTGCTGGTGTAGAATTTCATGAATTTAGCATATTGCCTCACCTTCAGCTTGTAGATCTGAAAAAGGATATCAATCATAACAATTTGGATTAAAAATCTTTATAAAAAATCTCTAAAAAACTTTATTTATTTTGTATACCAGAAAATTATGTTTGAAAAATAAACTAAATTCAATAAAAAATTCCTATTTTCTAAAATTATTACAAAGTATGGGCTTCAAAATATTATTCAAATTAATTTAACACTTACAATAGTTTACCTTGGTCAGACGTCTTGAAAGGCGTGTCCTCATTCTCCTTCTCAGTTTCTTGAGACGCCTGCTGTATTTGGTGATTCTTATTTTTCTGGTAGACAAACAACGTTTGTAACCCTTAACAACTCTGGAGATCAAACGGTTGATCATCTTCTTGTAGCTAGCAATTCTGGATTTGTAGAACTTGGTGGCTCTTGCAAGTCTTCTTGCGAGCATTTTCTTGTATTTTCTGATTGCCCTTCTCTTTTGACGACGCAATTGTCTCTTGTATGCTGCAAACTTTCTCAAATAACGTTTAGTGATGCGTTGGGATCTGTGAACAACATAAATATTTTTGCGTGCATTCAACTCAGTCATAACCGTCTGGAGGTGAATTATATTATACATAATGACTTCCAATATATTAATTTAGAAAACTAAATTCAACTCTTTTTGTAATGAACTCACCTGCACAAGTAAGTGGATCTGAAATAGGTTCTCAAAACTATGTGTCTCTTGTTGACAATTTTGGTGAATCTTTTCAATGCGCTCTTGTTACGTCTGATAGCAAGTTTTCTCCATGCTCTGTATTTTCTCCATGCGGCGGAAATTGCCTTGTTTCTTCTGGTTTTCAGCTTTTTGGTGAATTTCTTGACAGATACATTGACCTTTTCTAAAATTTATTATATTATTTTAAAATAACACAAAATGTAACATAAAATATTAAAAATTCGTGGGAAATGTCTCACTGGTGTTACAAGATTTCAATTTCTTGAATCTCATTTGTCTGTACTTGAATCTGTAAGTGATCAAACGGAAGCATCTGGATCTTCTGATTTTGAATCTCCACACGTATCTGATTCTGCGGCTAGAAAATATTAACAAATCATAAAATAAATTTCTACCAATGTTACATTCAAAATTTAGTCAAACCAGTTCAATATCAAATAAACTTTTGTCGTCTTACCAGGTACGGTAATAACGTCTTCTTCTGAAGCACAAAGTTCCTGTTGCACATTGATAAGCACATGCGTAATTCTTCACAAGTCTGGCGGTTGCACTTCTCAGCTTGCGGCTGTATACGCTGGCCCTTCTCAGGTATGCTCTTGTTTCACGTCTTCTGAAGACTCTGATAACTTTGCGCACGTCACGTCTTTTCCATGTTCTGGAGCCTGAGAAAAATAATTCATTTTATACTCAAGACAGATAACACACAAATATGTGGACAGGAAAGATTCGTCAATGACATTGTCACGCAGTTTTTAGAACAAGGATTGACAAATCAAATGAGGGTGAAATAGATTAGTGGTACTACGAATTTGACAAAGCACAGTAGTCAGTTGTAAAATATTGATGATAGAAAAACAATTGTTTTTAAAAATTGAAGCCACAATTCAACACAAATGATCAATACTTTCAATTTGTTCATGATGATACTTCGAATGCCAAACAAAGTGCTTTTTGTATTCAAAATTGTTTATTTGAAAGTAAAACTACTTACAATGGACTCTAGTGAGGAGTTTCTTGAAGATGGCAACTCTCTTGGTGACGAATCTCTTCATGACCTTCTTGTACCTTCTCACATATTTGTTCATGCGTTTCTTCAAAGATCTTCTGTATTTGGTAATTCTGGTCTTGCGGTTTCTGAAGCACCTTACAGAGCTGTAAATAATATGTTATATCATTTTGTATAGAAATCTTCATGCACATTATGTCTATCTATGAAGTTAATCATACAATCTGCGAAGTCTTCTGTGGAACTTGAGAACAGTACTGTACATTCTCTTCATAACTCTCTTGTAACTCTTGACTGCACGTCTGTACATTCTGCTGATAGCAGCATTGTATTTTCTGATTGCCTTACTCTTCAACTTGAGGATACGTCTTCTCTCACGCCTTGAAGCACGACTGTAAATAACAAATTTTAAATCATGTCATGAGAATGCATTTATAAGTCGCAACATTAGTGGACTTACCGAAGGTATCTTTTGGTGTATTTGTTGACTGATCTTCTGTATTTTCTTTTGGCTGCAGACACGCGAACGCACATTACATTGTACCATTTTCTGTAGCTCTTCTTCATTTGTTTGTGGATTGAGAGGGCTCTTCTGGACAAACGAGTTCTGACAACCCGAACGAACTTCCTTTCAGACCATTCTTAAAATTTCATATAGAAAATAATGCATAAGAAATGTCAAATGAAATTTCCTGGCTATCATCTAATTTCCTGGAGCAAATGTGCACAAATTAATAAAAATTCGAATTTGTATATTTATTGCTCCACACTTTATATTGTACATTAGTATTTGTGTATATATGGGGTATTTGTAGTGGTATACGTGATATTGGACGTCCTTGCAACGGCCAGTTTCTTCATTTCATTTTTTTTTTCATTGACGCATCAATTTGGCAAATAATAAAGACAAAAGCTATTTCAGGGTGAAATTCTTAGAGACATTTTTATTAATATTATGTCTAATCAAACAGACAGAAAAACTGTCAAACATGACATTGTCTGTTTCCACAAATAATGTATTATTTGGCTGAATTCCCTTTGCATGACATGGCTGTTTATAAACTTTCAATAAAAATTACCTCTGAATTTTCGGGAGGTGCATCTCTTTCCGGGATATGAGGTCAACACAGAGCGATAGTATCTAGAAGTGCACCATGCTTGTTTGAACTTGAAGCTGAATCGGAAACACGTGGATGGGAAAGTGTAATATCTCCTGACGTTCCAGCGGACGTAACCGCAGTGACTGGGTTGAATGTAAACGGCGGCATTTGCTGCCTGAAAATGGAAGATTTTGGTTGTCAAACAAAATTGAAAACTAATTTAATACCTTAAGATCTATACTTACGGCCAAGCAGACCAGAAGTACTAACAGAGTCTTCATGATTGTCTCTACTCGGTGTCGAATAAGGACTGATTTTTGCAGAAAATTTCCCAGTATATATGCTGTAGAAATCCACTTCATAATTCCTGATTGTTCATTATAAATTTATCGAAGCAAACACTTCTTCGGGTTGAAGGGCTTTGTAATTTTGGGTGTGTCTTTTAGTTGTCAGGGCAATATGCATCAATACTTTAGATTGTGCCAATAATACGCCTATATCATTGAAATAACTTTGTGTCTTAGGTCATCTTCCTTTTTTATTAGTTAATAAACACATCCCTCCTCTTGTAATAGCTAAATGATACTCGTGCTATTGCGTGTGTATAGTTTGTTGTTAGAAACAGTTTGATGCCTGGGATTATATGTTTAAAACGTAGCTCAACATTGCTTCATGTTTATATTGAGCAGACAATACCAACAATAGCCAATTCTCAAGTAGAGTCTTTTAGCATGATCGTGTTTTTAAAGATTTACCGATCATTTCGTTGCTGAAAAAAATTTATTTAATGTTATACATTTAATAAAAAATAAAAAGTCAATTATAGTTTTGCTAAACAATAAATAATTCAGATAACACCAAAGTGTTTAAAAAGTTTCCTATATCGGAACATTATATTATTAATTTCAAGTATAAATTTGCTATATTGCCTGATTGTTACATATCCCAGTTTTCTATTTGTATTTAATTTCGAATTTCTACTAATTGGCCTTTCCGTGATAATGAAATAGGGAATAGTAAAAAATTTATGTCTTCAAAAATACACAATATATATTGTGTAAAGTAAACAAGGGGGCAAAGCTCAAATATAAGAACATAAATTCCAATACGTACGGCAAACTTCACGACTAACGCAAACGTGAACCGCCGCAAGATGCGCGATTTCTTGATGAGGTAATCACACACTAAAAACGAATCTCATAGAGCCAACAGAAATTTTTGAAATGAATAAAAGTAATTGCCTAGCGACCAATACAATTTTTTCCACTGAAAATTTCAAAGCAATTGGTCCAGTAGGTAATAAAAAAAAAGTGAAGAAGGAAAGGAATACTAACAACATGATGATCAACAACAACATAATACCAAAACGCTCCATAGGTACTCTCCAATAAGGGTTATACCATATTCCAGGCTAAACGAAGTATGTATAATGATTCTTTGGTCTCGTACAGCGTGAAGATTTAAATATTTGCTGTCGTGGGGCTGTCTATGCTGAGGTAAAGCAACAACAAGCGGGTGACCGATAATTTCAAAAGTAACGTAGCATAAAAGAGTCCAAAGATTGTACTTCCGATTACCAAGTTGAGTCGCCCGGGTTATAGCAGAATTAATGAACAATAGTGAATGAAGAATTATAAGTCAAGTATTGATAAAAACTTCATCTCTCTTGCGTTAGGACATTGCTATCTAAGAAATTAAACCACTATTTGACAAAATTTACATTAGCATACACACGCGACCTATTTCGAATAACGGGAAGCTGGTTCATTTCGATTTTTGTGTACGAAATCAAGGCGCGATTTTTGACACAGTATCTTGTTTTCTTATTACATTTGTTATATTTCTTTGAAAGATATTCATACATATGGTCATACTATTTTATATTCCTTCAATTTATCTTTATTATAACAACAACAAAATAAGACGATGATATATCACAATTGTAGATGCTAATTTAAAAAATAAGTTATTTGAAAAATTGACACAGAAATTTTCATCACTACTCAAATGACTACAGTGGTGCATTTTTCTCGTAATGACAAAATTGTTGACACAATCTGATATGTTAAAGCTTAGTGCTTTGGCAGCCAAACTAAATATCTTAATAACAAAGTCTTTATACTACGCATTAGTCCTACTTGTAATATTTCAAGAAATACAAAGGGTTGATGTTGTGGTTGAAAATAGCTGCATTGTTGTTTTATCAACAGCAGTCAGGAAGTTAAAGGCAAACAAGACAAAAGTTACAATTATCCAATTATGCATATGTGTTGGTTATCAGAACTTTTTTTTCATAATAGCAATGTAATATACACGATATTAGTGTTTACTTTGTAAGGTTTCAATAATAATTAGGAGTGAACATATGATTTGAAATACTCATTATGTTGTTTCATCGACAAGCTTTATGACTTGAATGAAAACAATGAAATATATACATCATCTCATTATGAAGTTGTGTTGATTTATTAGCAAGCGTATGTTATTTTAATGTTTAATTTCCAAGTTTGTAATCACAGTCACTATGCAATGCCTTGATGCTGCAATTGGATATTTTGAAAGATAATAATAAATTGCATCATGCAACCGATGTAAAATAAATAAAATAAAAAAGGTTACAAGCTATAATTATAGGTTGAATTTCTCATTTCAACCTAACGTTCCTTTGAATGACTACTTTGTATTTCAATCCATAAATATTTAAATAAATTGAATATTTGACGTCACAACTTTATTGCAATTTCCAGTAACGGTATAAAATCCCGAAAAAGGGAGTCGCCGTATTACAAAACAAGTCATCAATAGAAATTTGACACTTTGCTTGATATGTCATATTAGTTTGTAAGTTATATGTTTACGTAAACGCTCCATCTTGTTTTTTCGCCAATTTTATCATTCATATAACAATAAAATTACGACAATATATGCAAATAAAAAAATCGTCGAAAAAAGAAACGAAAATAAATCAAAATTTGAATAAGGCTAATCAGGAAATATATTTATTATTGCTATAAGATAGTTACTTGTTTCTTTTAGCATGGTATATATGAAAAATCTTAACAATATTTCCCATCTACCATGGAGAAGACCCTTTTTTTCTAACTTATTACTAAGAAATTAAATATGAGGTTGACCTAAGTTACAATTATTGAGAACATACTTATGCAATATTCAAAACATAAAATCAAAGACACTGTTGATTTATCGAGGCCAAGCTTAGCAAGGTCACCATCATATGACCATTTTAATTAAAGTAGATGCTAATTTAAAAATGAAATTATTTGAAAAGTTGACACAGAAATTATCATCACTACTCAAATGACTACAGTGGTGCATGTTTGGCGTATTAAGAAAATGTTGGCATAACCTGATGTGTTGAATCTCAGTGCTTTTGCAGGTGAACCAAATATCTCAATAACAAAATCCTTATATTGCTAAGTGTAATATTTCAAGAGATGATAAGGATTGATTTATGGTTTAAAATAGCTGCCATGTTGTTTTATCAACAGCAGTCAGGACGTCAAAGACAAACAAGACAAAAATTACAATTAAATTCAATTATGCATATGTGTTGGTTATCGGAACTTTATTTTTTTTCATAATAACAATGTTAATATACACAATATTAGTGTTTGGTTTGTAAGGTTTCAATAGAAATTGGGAATTTAAAATGTGATTGGAAATATTATAATGTTGTTTTATCGACATGATACAGGATTTGAAATGCAAACAATGAATTATGTACATTATCTCATTATGAAGTTGTGTTGATTTATTAGCATGCGGGTGTTATTTTAACGTTTATGTACAGAGTTTGTGATCACAGCCACTATGCCAACCCTTGATGCTGTAATTGGATGTTTTGGAAGATGATGAAACATTGCATCATGCAACCTATGTAAAATAGATAAAAAAGCTCAAAATCTCATTGCAACCTAACCTAGCTTAAAATCTCTTTGCAACCTAACGTTCCTTTGAATTCAGAAAATGTATCATTGTTATGATGCAATTACTCGTCTCTTCTTGCAAGGTATTTATGAAAAAGTATAAAAATATTTTCCATTCACCATGAAGAAAAGAAGATCTGTGTTCATAGTTACCTCAAACTTAGAAATTTATAACTTAGAAATGAAAGAAAAAGTTGACCTAAGCGTCACAATCAATAGTTGAAGCTCACTGCTTTGGCAGCTAAACTAAAAAATGAATAACAAATTTCTGATATAACGGATTAGTACTACTTATAAAATTTCCGTGAATACAAAGAATTGACTGTGTGGTTGGGAATAGCTGCACTGTTGTTTTATCAACAGAAGTTAGGACGTCCAAGGCAAATGAAACCAAATTACAATTCCAATTTTTTTTCATGTTTGCAAAATTTTTATGTGTTTTTCATTAAGGGATTATTAATTTTATTTCTGTAAATAAATATTTCTTTATAATATAAAGTGATGAGTTTTCAACTGAATT